GGGATCTCCAAAACCAAAATATCCTGATAATACACTGCCATACAAGCCATTTTAAGTTAAAACCGAAGTCGCCAATACAAGATAAAGAAAAAGACAATTAATATTCGTACCGGGTTGAAATGAAGAGTCCAAAATTCCAGGTGATAGACCAGCAAGCTCCAACCGAGAATCTTTAACTAATCGCTGATATCTTCGCTTGTTCGGAGAAAGGTCAAATAACCTTTCAATTCGATCGTATAGCACTCCTTCAAACCGAGGTTCTTTCTTTCCTTGCGGTTTGGCTACAATGTCACAAAAGTCCACCTGTCAGCGAAGACAAAAAACAAAGAATTAATACTCAAAATTAAGAAAAAGAAATATTAACTTACAATAAGCAGATTTAACAGCCATCGGGATACTAGTCCCATTAGCAAGAAGATCATTAGAAAAGTCGGCACATTGCTAATCTCCGCCAACCCACAACCATTCTTCTTGAAAGCCGTGAAGCGTATCGGGAACCTCCGTTATCAACTCGCCGACCTTGACTCTTGGCTGAGGTTTACCGACAATGGAGAATGTGAGAAGCGGGTCTGCAACTTTTCTATCCAGACTTTTCCGAAAAGCAAACATACTTCTCATTTCATTTGCCGATGGTAAATCCCACTTCTTCTCTGTAAGAAGTACGAGCACACCGATAACCCGCTTCCATGAATCTGGGGCAATTTGACATAAGGTCAACTCCCATTTCTGCAAATATTTGGTAATTATGCGTGTTAGGGGGAATCGTAACCCTGATCTTAGACTCTCAGCAAATACACCGACACATCCTGGCGGAGGACATGTAATCCTTTCTCCAGGGTACAGCGCAAATAAGTGCACCGATGTAGGGACTCGAATCTCACTTCGCAACATAATGACATCAGCGTCTGTCAGTATGCTTGGCTCACCGTGAAAGTTTACTTTAGGGCCTAGCCATCTTCTAATAGGCCGTCTCCAAAATCTTGCATCGTCGACGGCATTTTCTTCCACTTTTTTGTCCCCTTCGGTATCGTTCAATCGAATATTCAAACGTTCGACAAAAACTGGATCCCACCGATTGTATTCAGAAAGCAATTCCATCTCCCCGGAGTGAACCATATTGATCATCATGACGCCCAACTCGTCATCACCAGAAGATGCCCACGATACACTCATGATTCAAGGAAAAATATACCGAAAAAGATGAGCAAAACTGAGAAATAAGTCTTACCACGAGAAGAAGTTTGCAGATCTGAAGGAAGTACTCGGAAGGATTATGTTATGGGTCAATAAATAAAAAAAAAGCGACGAAATTGCAAGAAAACAGAGTTGAATTGCAGAAAAATTGAAGATAAAATGAACTTCAGTGGACGATTTATTATTTATACCTAACCCTAAATTCAGAAGTGACCGTTGAGGAGAAAAAGAAATAGGGGCGCGTGGGATACACTTTCTACACTCACGAGTAAATGCGACCCTTGAGAACTGCGCCTATCGACGGCGGCTACGTGATCTATAAAAAGTAATCGTTGCCCGTCAACGAACGTTGTATGTAATTCTGGATATTTGCGCCGTTTCAGCTCCAAGTTTCTTTTTCGCACCAAGTATTAGGACGTCGGAACACAACAACTGAAAACCGACATGTCTGGCTCGTACATATCAAAAGTTTCATAAAATTTTTCAGCATCAATGCTCGTCCTCTTCTGAAGGCCCATTAATGCTGGGGGCCACCTTGTTGACATGGTTTTTGTTAAACCGAGTAATTAATAATTATCGGCACCAGGAGTTCAATGATTAAAAGATTATGCTATCTCAGGAGTTAATATACTCACAGATATCAAGTAACTACAAGTCGGATAAGAGTGAGCCAAGTACCAACGTCATCCTCAAGAAACCGACATCTCTTGTCGGTTATGGCTTGGCGAACCGATATCTATGACATGACCAACCGACATCACAAGGCGGTGCCAACTCAGCAAATTTATCATTATGCTTGGCCAAGTGGCGCGTTACAAGAATACGTGGCAAATAGCCGCCATTGACTTTCCTTTTACGATCAACGCATTTACAACAATTTTGTACTGTATTATAAAAAAAGAAGAAGCCCCAGAGAGAGAGCTATCAATAATAATCTTGCCCCATAATTTATTCTCCTTTTAAACAGTTGAATTATCTTATTAACTGAATTAGTTTAAACAAATAAACCTTGTTAATTTACATGTAACAACACAGGTGTTTTCCTCTTTTTCCCCTTCACAGTAAACAAACAAAAATGTACATGTGACTATGCAATTTGTGATTATAAAAACACTAAATGTGACTAGTTGTGAACAGTACCTTGTTCACAGAGATGTCCTCATTAGGGGCTCTGACTTCACTTCCTCTCAAAGTTGCTTTTCTCTTTTTACCCTTCATAAAACAAAAAAAAAAAAAAAAAAACAATGGTACATATAGCTATTCATGTCAACATTTTACAGAAATTACTATTTGTATATATAAAACACAAACATAGAAACAAAAAATTTACAATTATTTAACAACTACCTCTGTTGTGGCACTCTTGTCAGTTCTTAATGGACAACATCTAATGTTGTGGCTGTCTTTGTTGCAAAGAGAACACTTCATAACTTTCCCTTTTCTACTCAGCTTCACTTGAACTTGTTTTTTGAATTTTTTTGTCTGAACCACTTCATGGGGCTGCTTTTTTTTCTGGCATTGACTTTTGGCCTTCCAGGCAGTCTTTCAACAAATGGTGGTTTCAAGGGCAATGCTTCTACACTTGGCTAGTACTCTGGAGGTTTAAGAGTGCCCAACATCTCAGAATAAGCCTTCAAAAATTTTTCTTTCTTATACCAGTCAACAACATAATCCTCTGGTTGAGTGCCCAACAAGAACATGCCACTTATTGCATGCTCACAAGAGATACCTGTGAGGTCCCACTTCCTACAACTGCAGGTGTGGACTCTAAATCTACTTGCACTTCCCTCTACTTCAAACTGGTCTTCCCCATTCCAATGGCAAATATAACCCATTGACTTTTTCTTCAACTCCTCCAACAGCTTCATGATTTTTGGGCATAAATTCTCATGCAAATGTTTTCTCATTTGATCCCTTCTCATGTAGGTCCTCTTCATCAAGATAAGTCTTATTGTTTCCAACATAGAAACAATAGGTTTACTCCTTGCTCTCAAAATTAATGAGTTAAAAGACTCACTCATGTTATTCAGCTGCATATCACACTTTGATGCAACTATAGTGTGACCTTGACCACTGATTTGCTGGTTTCTTGGCTAACCATTCAAAAGCTTATTTGTTCATTCCTTGCAGTTCTTTCATTGCAGCATTAAAGTCAACAACCCTTGTGGACCGGGCTGCTCTCCACAACAAGTTTTTAAGGGCTAATTCTCTAAATGAATTCCTAAAATTTCCATACAAATATTGGACACAAAACCTATGCTCAGAATCTGGCAATAGATTTTCAATGACATCTACAAGCCCTTTTTGCTTGTCTGACATTATTGTCCAAAGAAAAGGATTCTCAATCCCCAAATCCCCTTTTAACAGGTCAACAAACCAATGCCAAGTTTTTTTAGTTTCTTTTTCAACAACAGCATAGGCAAAATGATACATACAGTTGTTTGCATCAACACCAACTGCAGTAAGTAGAACACCACCACAAGATGATTTATAATGACAACCATCTAAGAAAATCACCTTCCTACAACCATTCAGCAACCCTCTTTTCAATGAACCCCAACAAATATAGATTCTTTTAAGTAGTGGTTCATCATCAACAAGTTTACTTTTGATTACACAGTGGTCCCAGGGTTGGTTTTTCTTTTTTTTATCTATTCAGCATAAGACCAAAGCATGCCATATTGCTCACTGTCAGACCCCACACCAATCTTAGACACATATTTTTTAGCTTGGTACATGTGCCATCTTTTGAAAACTATCCCTACTTCCCTCTGCATTTCTGCTATCATAGCCTCTACAGGCCACTTAGGATGATCTAAAATCTTGTGCTTGTAATTTTCAGCTATCCATTTTGGGTTAGCATGACTTACCTTTTGGTTTCTAGGGCACTTATGCCTACCATTGTAAGTCTTAACCTGCACAGTGTCTTTATTTTGAATTTCTGATACATAAATGACCCAAAGGCATGACTTATTTTTGCATCTTGCTTGCACCTTATAGCTCAAATTAATGATAAAACACACATCCCTACCCTGTGCAATTGCAAAGTTCCTAACTGCCTTTCTAAACATGGCCAAGTCAGAAAATGTCATGCCCAATTCAAATTCAGGATTTTTCATGTCTTTTTTATGATCAAAAGTTGGATAGCCCTTTTTACTTATCTGCTTACCCTGGCTACTTAAATATTCAGGGCCAACAGCTTCAGCTCTATTTAGTCCTCCCCATTCAATATCAGCATCTACATGACACTCAAACATCCATCTGTTGGAACCCACGAGGATTTCGATATGCACAAATCACGGACAAACATTCAACATAAACCTATGCGCAGCGGATC